CGCAGCAACTGAAAACAGCAAGCTGCTGAGTCCCGGCAGCCTAGCTTGGACTAATCATGTTGCGCCGATTGGTGCCGTGCCAGCCGTTGAAAACCTCAAGGTTTGGGGTTTTAGACTTTTGCAATTTTTCCGCCTCTGGGTCGGTGGACTGAGCCGGAGGCTCTTAAGTCCGGCCTGGCCGTCATGGTCCAGTGCGGATGCACGCCTAGCTAAGCTATGCGTCTAAGGGGTGTGGCACAGACCGCCGACCCCCTCCACTGGAACCCTGGAACCGTGCTTTTGGGTGTCAAAAATCAAGGTGATTTTTGGCTGCGGTTTTGAGGCTTCCCCCCGACGCTTCGGAAGGTTTCGGGCATGACTCTTTAAGCCAGCATCATCAGCACAATTGGGCCTTCGTTTTTCATTTCTGGCCACCTCAACATACATAGAGTTTTGGAGGGGTCTTGAAGCCTCATATGTGTGGTGTCAAGAAGGAAATTAGGGGCCCAAACAGGCCCCCATGATGCTCATGATGCTGGCTCTTTGGGGTCTGCAGGGCGCTTAAAATGCGCTATACCCAACACAACGCTCAAAATACACGCTGTGGGCAGTGTTTGTGGCTGTAGCATATTTCCAGCACTTTTGTGGCTCCTTAGCTTGTCCAATGCGTGAAATGTGGCTGCTATTGGCAGCTGATTTGCCCAAAAAATGCACTTGCGGGCTAGAACATGGTCCGCCTGCACAGAGAACCATGTCTAAAAGCATCTTCGATGGCTTTCCTTGGTTTTTTGACCCCTCCTGGTCGCAATCAAGCCAGAGCCAAAATGTGGTCCCAATTGTGCAGCTGATGTTCCTGTACGACGCGCGCGCTCGCACGCGCGCGCTTGCCTCGTACAGGAACGTCATCAGCACAATTCGGATCCCATTTTGGGCCGTTTTGAATTAAACTAGAGAGAACAGGAGCTTCCAAACCTGAAAAAGCCCCAGGTAGCAAGAACAGCACTTTTTGGGGTAAATTTTTCAATCAGGAGCATCAGCAGGGCTGGGGTGGGCGTGGCTTTCACATAATGGCTGGGTGGGCAGGGTGGGCGGTGGCCAGGCCGGCACCTGCCGCCAGGCCCTAAACAAGAGGATACATTTTTGTAGTGATCCTCTTGGGGTCTTATTCCCTTATTTCCTACTAACCCCAGTAGGCTGAGGGTTTAGGACTTGGGGTTCCAAACCCCTAAACCCCAAAGCTGAATCTAGGGTTCACAGCTCAAGGCTTCTCGGTTTGCATGTGCCCCATATGAGATATAGCCTAAACTCCTAGTGTCCCCCTTAATCACCCCCATAATGGTCCCCGGCTTAATCCCCTAGATAACTTCCCGTTAAGGAGTTTAGACCCTAAACGCTATTTTATAATCCCCTGTATAACCTCCCTTTAACGAGTTTAGACCCTACACCCAAACCGAATATAACCCCCCTCTGCATCAAAGGGGATGGCAAGGGATCCCTCCACAGGTACACTCGGAAGATGATGACGGTTTAGGGTTTAGGATTTAGCGTTTAGGCTTTAGGGTTTAGGGCTTAGGTTTTAGGATCTACTGCATAGGCTTCCGACACAAATGGATCCCTGATTTGAAGCGCATGCTTCCCAACATGAAACTCCAGGCGATGGCCATTCTGCAAGGATTCCTTGTATCAGGAGATGCAAAATGATACCATACTGTCAGAGCCTTCCATAAATCCTTCACAGGGTCCTATTGAGCTCCTGTGGCTCCTATGGACCCTTGGAAGGCCCAAACGCTGCAGTTACCTTGCTTCCAATTTCTTGCCAAACCTTACAGTAAGCATTTGCCCCAAAACCATGGACCCCAAAGGCTGAACCCGCAACCGCTAATCCTAAATCATTATGGGCGGCCTCCGTCAGCAGCTTCCGGTTCTCTGCCCGCAGAAGGAGCAAGATGAAGCGAGCCTCTGCAGTTGAAATCTTAATCACCATCATTTGTTGTAGCAGTGGCGGCAGCAGCAGCAGCAGGAGGATAGCGGGAGGTAATCGAAGTAGAAGCAGCAGCTGCAGCAGCAGGAGTGGTAGTAGCAGTAGTAGCAGAGTAGTAGTAGTAG